ATCACATAGAAAGTGACGCAATTTCATATGGTTCGTTGTCTATATTATATAAATTTCGTTTGTGACTTTTAGTAATGCCGTTCGGGTGATAATTTATTCTAAAACCGTGTTGCGTGTTAGATATAAGGTTTATTCGCTTCTAAAAATGGTGGTAATTGGTCTGCCAATATTTTCTCGAGAACTTTAGATGATACCTGGCAGAATAGTGATGGGTCGATAGTTATAATTCGTCTATGTCACCGGATTCTGAAAAATAGGATGTTTGATGCCGTGTTCAACGTATGAAAACTCCAGGGACTATAGATGTATTAATGATTACCTGTCAATAGTAGCAATGCCTGGTAACTCATCGTTTATGAAACGATGCTGGCCAATTCCATTGCTCCCACGGAATTCGTCGTTTTTAAGTGTTTTATTGTCAAGAGATTGCTTACTACTCCAACTGCGTTGCGGTCTGAAAAAAGTTTGTTGTAAGTATTCATATCGTTTATGTTGTGTGATATGGCCGGCGGCATGTGGTCTGTCAAAAGTGCGTATGCACTATTTCTGCCAAAGAAGTTGATTGCAATGTCTATATAATTTATGAATTTTGGGAAGTGTCTGGTTTTGTTTCTTCTTAGGCCACTAATTGTATTTACTAGTTCCACAGTACCGGCAGAATCGCTTCTGCATTCATGGAACTTGTTTTAAAATAATTGGTTTTTCGCTCCCCCCCCCAACCATGGAGGAGTGGTTTCACATTTTTCTTCTTTGTTGTATTCAGCCCGAAGGGTGTGTACAAATCTGTTATCTTGAGAGACTTTGTGAGTATTATTTCTATCATTTATGGACCCTCTTAATGTTGTCATTTATCCAAGGGCGGCGAGACGCCGGAGGTTTGTTTTCACAGCAGGCGCATGGCATCGATGCCTGTTCTTATTACGTTTGTAAGATGTCCACTTGTTTACAACGTCATCAGTTGTTAGATTCTCTGACAGATGACGAGGCGTTGCGGTAATATATTGGCAGAGACGAGGACGTAGTGCGTTAGGTCGAGAAGAGCTTTTAATTGATCATGGTTTTCGCTTGTGTTTTTTCTATATTTAAAGTCATTGGTAACAGATCGTGTATCATGCAATGTGCAAGGCGACGGCGTCTGTGTGTAGTGTAATCTATCAGGTCTGTTTGCTTATTATATACATCTAACAAGGATAGAAGTGCTTTCGTAATCTTGTAGGCTCTTTATAAGTTGTCTTATTGTTTTGTTAATTTACCCATTTAATTTGACATTAGAGTTATTTAGATCGTCATTTAAATCACCTAAGATGAAAAAGTGGTTTCGCTTATGAATTTCTCCGAAAAACAATTTTCGAGGGTAGTCAAAGAGTCTGTGGTGGCATGAGGTGTCTGTAGATTGTTGCCGACGAGGAAGGAGGGATGGCATATTCGCTTGTACGGTTACCCAGATGGTACTCTACTGCTGTATGATTTACAGTTGCAGTAGGAGATCTTTTTGATTTAAGGGTATCGCTTAAATATATGCATATCCACCTCCACGTTCAGCCATCACCATCTGTAAACATGACGTTGGGTGCTGATGAAAACTGCATGGTATTTCTTGGGAAAGCCAAGTGAAGTGAAGCAGGGAGAAGGAGATGAGAAGGAAATCGAAAAGTTGAAGAAAAAGACCTTCAGAAAAGGAAAAGGAGAACAAGGTAAATCAGGTGCAGTAGCGGGGAACACAGGGAGGGGAAGAGAAAGGATATGGAATAAGGGAGAGGAGAGATGAAAAGAGGAATGTGTGTAGGGAAGCCACGGAGTTGGGGAGTGGGGAGCCAGGAGAAAGATATGAGAAGACCACTTTCTGAGACTTTTCTTCTTGCAGGATCAAAACTCGAGGAGCAGGCGAGGAAGATGAAGGCAGAAACCAAACGTAGAGGTACGGCACAGGGAGAGGGTGTTGTCCTCGAGTATCTGTCCCCGACTAGAGTGGCATTCCTGAAGCGCGTCGTCTCTCCGCAGACGAGTACGAGGCCCGACTGCGAGACTGAACATAGCCGACAACACCAAAGATGACTGAGGCAGCCGACCTGAAAGAGGGAGAACATAGACTGATGATGACGGATGGGAAGAACAGGAAGAAGAAATCGCATCTCTAAAGGTATGGAAGGGAGATGAATAGAGGAAAGAGAAAGAGTGAGAAAAGAGAGAAGAGGAGTAGGAGAGAGAGACACAGAGGTGGCGAGGGATGAGGATAGATAGATAAAGGAGGGTAACAGTTTGCATAAGACCGTTAGGTGGAGAGAGAGGAGGACCAACAGATATAATCGTAAGGCAGTTGGAGAATTTATTCCGTATTTCTAGCCGTGTCTGTGTCAATCGAGGTAGATAATCGGGCGAAAATAGAGGAGCGATCGATTGATGTAGGAAACACACCCACATGATACTTCTTTTTCTCTAATGAAACTTGAGCTTCCGGAAGTTTAAGGAAAGACCAAGGCAGATGCCAAATCAAGTGCTCAATCTGCAACACTCCTCCGGCCCTGTGGGTACAACGTGTCAAACAGTCCACACAGGGCAAGAGGGTTGAAGCAAGATACGCAAACATTGAATCAAGGGAAGGTGTGAGGAAGTTAAGGCGAGGGAGCATGAGGCCGGAAGGAAGGTCTCAACAGCAAATCGCAGATCTTCAGGAATACATTGCAACTTTACAGGTGAGTTGTCGCCGTGTGACAGTATCAGACTTGCATTATACTTGGTTTACATGCAGAAATACAGAGAGGGAGTAGAAAGAGACAGAGGCAGGAGGAGAGAGAGCGGGGATACAGAAAGAGAATGTGTTCATTAGAGATGAAAAATTAGAGATAGACAGTGCTAGATAGACAGACAGGAAAACAGGAAAGTAGGGCAAGGAAACCTGAAGGGGGGGGGGGCGGGGATGACACCCAGAGACGGATACATTAAATAATGTAAACAGAGAGAAAAGATAGAGAGAGATTCTCGATTGGAAGAAAAATGGGGCATAGAATCGAGCGCTGGCGAGCAGATGGAGAGGAGGACCGAGTACAGGAGGCCGAGGTAAGTCTCCCTTGGAAACCAAGGAACCGCTGATGTGGGCGCACGCGGATAGGAGGAGATAATGACATATCGCCAACCAAATACTGTCCTGTGACGCAGTACTATTAAAGTCGTTCGTTCCAGGCAGAGCATGAAAGGGGCGAAAAGTCTTCAAAGCAAGGGAGAGACGAAGGAGGAAAGAGGCAGCCAACGCGAGAGGCGAGCTTGAGAAGAAGCTCAGTAGTACGAGCCCCAAGACGATCGAGGCCCTCCAAGCGTAGGGGCGAGTGGTCTTCGCCACACGACGCGGGGGGGGAGGGGGGGGAGCAACCAAAGAGAGGACGAATGGCGGAGAGGAGACAGAGCACAGAGAGAGGGAGAGAGAGAGAGAGAAGAGAGATGAGGGAGAAAGAGAGAGCGAAGAGATGGAGAGAGAGAGGGAGAGAGAAGTAGAGAGAGCGAGAGGGAGAGATAGAGAGAGGGAGATAGAGAGGGAGGAGAGAGGAGAGAGGGGAGAGGGAGAGAAGAGGGAGAGAGAGGACTGAGAGCGAGGAGAGAGGGAAGATGAGAGAGGGGAGAGAGCGAGAGAGAGGGAGAGAGGGAGAGAGAGGGAGGAGGGAGAGAGAAGGGAGAGAGGACAGAGAGATGAGAGGAGAGGGGAGAGGGAGATGAGAGAGGGATAGAGAGAGAAGGAGATAGGAGAGAGGGAGAGAGAGAGGGAGAGAGCGAGAGAGAGAGGGAGAGAGGAGATGAGAGAGCGAGAGAGGGAGAGAGTAGAGGGAGGATGGAGAGAAGATGGAGGGAGGGAGAGAGATGAGAGAGTGAGGGAGAGAGATGGGAGAGAGGGAGGGAGAGAGGGAGAGAGAGAGTGGAGAGAGAGAGGAGAGAGAGAGAGAGAAGACAGAATAGAAGAGAAAAGGAGAGAGAGGGGGGAGAGGAGAGAGAGAGAATAACAGAGAGAGAAAGAGAAATTGATGAGGAGAGGAGAGACGAGAGAAGGACAAGCAAAACCCTACTCATAACAGTTAAAGACCAAATCAAAATAAAAAACATGACATAAGTAGCCCTTTCGCCTCTCTTTTTGCTTCCCCTCTGACCCTACACCGTGCCGCTGGGACCTGGGGAACTCACCTGATTTTCGCTGGCACGGAGCGGGTGGGGTATGCGGGGGGGAGAGAGAGAGAGAGGGAGATGAGAGGAGAGAGAGAAATAGAAAGAGGAGAGGAGAGAGGAGAGAGAGCGAGGTGAGAGAGAGAGGAGAGAAAGAGAGAGGTAGAGAGGAGAGAGAGAGAGAGAGGGAGCGAGAGAGAGAAGAAAGAAGAAAGAGAGCGAGGAGGGGAGAGAGGAGAGCGAGAGAGAGAGAGAGTAGAGAGGAGAGAGAGAGAGAAAGAAAGAGATGGAGAAGAGAAGAAAGAAAGAGAGGAGAGAAGAAGAGACCCCGATCGTCTTGGCTTCCCCTCTTTTTTTGCAATAACCGTTTACATCTTTTGGGTTTTCGTGTCTTCTTTCCTGTTTTTCTGCATGGGTCCCGATGCAAGCGAGAGAACGAGAGAGAGAAGAGAGAAAAGAGAGAACGAGGATAGAGAGAGGGAGAACGAGAGAGAGAACGAGGAGAGAGCGTAGGAGAGAGAGAGAGAGAAAGAGAGAGGGAGAACTAGAGAAAGAGAGAGAGGAAAGAGAGAGAGGTAAAGAGAGAAGAGAGAGAGAACATATAAGGAGAGTGAGGAGAGAGTAAATAGATATATAATATATACATATATATATATAAATATATATATATATATACATATATATACATATATATATATATATACATATATATATATATATACATATATATACATATATATATATATACATATAGATATATATATATATACATATATATATACATATATATATATATATATATATACATATATATATATATATATACATATATATGTATATGTATATATATCAGACATTAGTCTCTATTTGGTTGCTACCACCATCAACACCAACGCGTGTGTGCGAAGGACCAGCTCGCCCCTACCTTGAGGGCCTCGATCGTCTTGTCTCGTCTACTGAGCTTCTTCTCAAGCTCGCCTCTCGCGTTGGCTGCCTCTTTCTCCTTCGTCTTCTCCCTTGCTTTGAGACTTTTCAGCCTTTCATGCTCTGCCTGGAAACGAACGACTTTATGAGTACTGCGTCACAGGACATGTATTTGTTGGCGATATGCATTATCTCCTCCTATCAGCGTGCGCCCACATCAGCGGTTCCTTGGTTTCCAAAGGGAGAACTTACCTCGGCTCCTGTGAGCTCGGTCTCCTCTCCCATCTGCCTCGCCAGCGCTCGATTCTTGCCCCATTTTTCTTCCAAGCGAGAATCTCTCTCTATCTTTCTCTCTGTTCATATATTTATTTATCCGTCTCTGGGTGTCCATCACCGCCCCCCCCCCCTTCAGGTTTCCTTCCCCTACTTCATTTTTCCTGTCTGTCTATCTAGCACTGTCTCTCTCTATTCATCTCTAAATGAACACATTCTCTTTCTGTATCCCGCTCTCTCTCCTCCCCTGCCTCTGTCTCTTTCTATCACCTCTCTGTATTTCTGCATGTAACCAAGTATAACTGCAAGTCTGTATCTGATCACACAGGCGACAACTCACCTGTAAAGTTGCAATGTATTCCTGAAGATCTGCGATTTGCTCGTTGAGACCTTCCTTCTCGGCCTCATGCTTCCTCGCCTTACTCTCACACCTTCGCTGATGCAATTGCGCTTGCTTCACCGTCTGCTGAAGCGGTCAACCTTGGTTAGGATGTTGCAGAATTGAGCACTTGATTTGCATCTGCCTTGTGTCGTTTCCTTAAACTTCCAGGAATCTCAAGTTTCATTAGAGAAAAAGAAGTATCATGTTCCTACAGTCAGTCGATCGCTCTCTATTTTCGCCCGATTATCTACCTCGTTGACACAGACACGGCTAGAAATACGGATAAATTCTTCCACACTGCCTTACGATATGATTATCTGTTGGTCTCCTCTCTCTCCACCTAACTTCTATGCAAACTGTTACCCTCCTTTTATCTATCATATCCTCATCCCTCGTCCACTCTGTGTCTCTCTCTCCTACTCCTCTCTCTCTTTTCTCACTCTTCTCTTTCCTCTATTCATCTCCCTTCCATACCTTTAGAGATGCGATTTCTTCTTCCTTTCTTCCCATCTTCATCATCAGGTCTATGTTCTCCCTCTTCAGGTCGGCTGCCTCGTCATCTTTGGTGTTGTAGGCTATGTTCGAGTCTCGCAGTCGGGCCTCGTACTCGGTCTGCGGAGGAGACGACGCGCGTCAGGAATGCCACTCTAGCCAGGGGAATCAGATACTCGAGGACAACAACCCTCTCTCTGTGCACGTACCTCTACCTGTTTGGTTTCTGCCTTCATCTTCCTCGCCTGCTCCTCGAGTTTGTCCTGCAAGAGAAAAGTACTCAGCGAAAGTGTCTTTCTCATATCTTTCTACTTGGCTCCCACTCCCATACTCTGTGCTTCCTACTATCACATTCCTCTTTTCTTCTCTTCTCTCCCCTTATTCATTCTTTCCTCTCCTCCCCTGTGTCTCTTACATGCACCTGATTACTTGTTCTCCTTTTCCTTTTTCCTGAAGGTCTTTCTTCAACTTTTCGATTTCCTTCTTCATCTCCTTCTCCTGCTTTCACTTCACTTGGCTTCACCAAGAATACCATTCAGTTTCATCACATCCCAAACTTCCACATGTTTACAGATGTGATGCAGGACGTGGAGGTGGAGTATGCCATATATGTAAGCGATATCCCTTAAATCAAAAAAGATCTCCTCGGCACTGTAAATCATACACAGTATAGGACATCTGGGTAACCGTACGAAAAGCGATTGGCATCCCCTCCTTCCTCGTCGGCACAATCTACAGACACCCTCATCCACCACAGACTCTTTGACTACCTAGAAATATTTTCGGAGAATGTCAATAAGCGCAAACCACTTTTCATCTTAGGTGATTTAAAATGACGAATCTAAATAAACTAATTCACAATTAAATTGATAATTAACAAAAACCAATTAAAACAACTATAAAGAAGCCTACAAGGTTTACAGGAAAGCACTTCTCCCTTATTAGATGTTATAATAACAA